TTATTTGTCAAGGTTGAGACCGACACCTAGGTGCATTGGGGTCCGATGCTTGGGTGCAAGTCTCCTTATGCTCCTTTTGGTCCAAGTCTCCTCCTTATTTTCTTACATCCAATACCAGTTATACCTGCAAGAAAAATATTGAAATATCTTTCCTTAAAAGTGCAATCTAATCAATAAAAATATGCAACTAATAAAGAAATAATAACATTCATATCTACACATCAAAATTCCCCAAACTTAAAGGTTACTTGTTTTCAAATAACTCTAAAGTTTAAATATCACTGTAGTTAACTTATAGGATCGAGTTTTATAGAAACTATCAATAATTATGCATCAAGAGGTTCATAGTGATAACAACATGATAACTCTACTAAACTAGTTTAGTTCTAGGGTGTAAGAAACTTTGCATCCAACTAAAATTATTTGATTTTCTATTCACTTCCGAAAAGAAATTAACACATGTTAAATAAGGCATAATAGATGGAAAATAGATAGAATTTAAGCACTCCATTAAAAATGTTTACTAATACTTCCTAACCATCAATAACTTAGAAATGTAGTAGAGTTGAAAATTTAAAAAGAATATAGTAAAACCATTTTTTTATAAGGCTTCTCCTCTTTTTATATTTTCTTTTATACTCTTTTTTCTTGCTTCAAGATGAATGTTTCAATCCTTAACATAATTTATAATGATTGCTATATCTAGATAGACCTTATAATAATTTTGAATTTCACTATCAGCTTTTTAAATTAAACAATCCACATGCCTTTTTTTTTAAGTTTTTAAAAATTTAAGAAGTATTAGATCAAAATATAATTTGAAGGAGGCTGAATTCTTCTTAAGTGTACATCTAAATACACCTAATTTAACAAATATATGATACTTTTTTAAAATGGATATTTAATCATTTTTCTATATGTTAAATAACAAAAGTTACTTAACACTAGTCTAATGATTTGCTCCAATGATTATCGAAATAATGTAAGTCCTGATAGTGGCACTAGAAACTTTATCCACTAACTAGAAAGTTAATTGAGCTCTTAAAATTAGATATTATTACTCGCTCGGGCATCTCACACAAGTATATGCATCGTTTCAGTATTGTAGGGCTCTATTGAGTCCGGATTATCGATTCCACAGGGAAGGATGTAACGAGTCCCTTAGGCGAAGTTCTAATCAACAACGCGAAGGTCTTAGTTCGAAATGCAAATTACATTGGTTTTTCTAACAATTACTCCTAAAACTACAACATTAAGTTTAAAGCTAAACTTTTATATATCAGTTGGTTTGGTGAATTTCAAAGTTTGAAAGCTACACTTCTCTTGTGATTGCTTAAGTAGATTGTATGATAGAATACTAAGAATTAATAATGTGTCCAATGAAAAATAGGAATATAAATCTTTTTTACCCTCTTTCGACTACGTAAAAAAGTTTGGTTAACCTAGTTTTAATTCCTTAAACTTTAGATTGAACCCATCAAAGCTTAGTTCATTATCTATTTGAATTTCCACCAAACTACTTCACCATAGCCTATCAAACAATGTGAGTACTCCAGTTGTTCTTCCGCCGCTCTTCTGAATCTTAATGGAACACAACGAATTTTAACAATTCATACGATCAGGACAAAAAGTAAATGAAGCAAAGAAGAATACTCATCACATTGGTATCAAAATGTAATTCTAAAAGCATTCAACACATCTTACAAATCCTATCTATTTATCACAAGAGAAAAGAATGTAAATATACTCACAAAGCATGAAGATTACAATGAAAATCATCATCATTTAAAAAAAAAAACTACACTAAATATCTGTTTACAACAAGTCCAAGTCCAATAGAAACACCATGCTTAGTTGTTCTCCTTTGAAAGGAGTTGAAAAGTTCCTCCAACAATGAATCCAAGTCCTCCCTGCAATGTTGCAATGCTTTCCTTGTAGATTTCTCTCTAAAACATTCATCAATCTCTCAAGAAAAGTGAAAATTTACAATTGGCTTCTTTCTACTCTCCTAAGTTCAGAATGCTTCAGCCCCTTTAAAAATCTCCTCTCGAGCTACTTAAAACCACTACATAACTCCCCAAGTCATGGTGAAACAACTGTAGAAAAATGGTCGTGCCTTGGTGCCTAAGTGTCGGTCTCTTAGGTTGTTGCACTGATTCAGGTGCATAAGCGCCAATAAGCTGGCGCCAAGGTACTTGGATGAAGGGCTTTGACACCTAAAGTCTTGTGCCAGGCTTGCTGGTTTCAATATGCTTCATTCAACTGCTTTTGCTTTTTTCAACTTCACTTTGCTCCATGTGTCCTACATGTTATATCTGTAAGAAAACACAAGCATACCCTTCCTTAAAGTGTAGTTTTATCCAAAAACAAGTGTAAAAGACAAAGTAAATTAAGCATGCTTTAGAACACATCAAAATCCCTCAAACTTAAACATTATTTTTCATAAGTAACACTACAAATTTAAAAACCAAATTTGTTGATTTGAAATTTCTTCAAGATTTCCTACAAAATTGCCTAAGTAATGTTATAGTGCAACCTAGGAGAAATTCTAGTGAATCGAGTTAGGACTAAGGTATAAGCATATTTAGTATTTAACTTAGGAATCCTTATTTTCTATCTACTTCAAAAATAATTGTAATTTGTCAAAATTGAGATTTTAAGTATAAATCAGAATTTAAATACTCTATTTGTAAAAATTTTGCTAATACTTTTAGAATAAAAATGAGTTTATTATTGTATCTAAGTTCTTTTCTTTAAGATGATTCAAGTGAAACCAATTTTTTATTAGGCTTTTCCTCTAGCTTCATCTCACTTTTTAATATATTTTTCTTTCTTCTTTTATTTTCTTTCGGGATCTTTTTAATCCTTAATAATTTTATGTGAGGATTACTATATCTGGATAGACCTTAAATAGTTTTGAATTTTAATATCCTCCTTCTATAGTTAAAAACTCGTCACTTTCCTCTCTCAAAAGTTGTAAGCATTAGTTTGAAAATAGGTTTTAATAGAGTCGAAATTCTTTTAAAGTGCAAATCTAAGAATTCTAGTTTTTCAAAAGTACAATTCTTTCCTACTATAAATAGTAAAATCATATTACTATTATCTCATACTAAATATCTTAAATCTAACACGGTCTTTTTCATCAAAAATTTTAAATAAGTCTTCTATAACATCCCCAAAATCAAAATTATAGTACCCTAAAGGTAACGCCATTAGTCATTTTAAAGTGATATTGATTTTATATGTAAGCTACTAAGGAATAATAAAGTATAACTTTGTTAAATATTTTTCTCCCCCCAAACTTAATTTTTAACATGTATAGCAATCAAAACAGAAATATAAATAGGGAGAAAATAGAACTGAATTACTTTTTATCACATGAGTTTATCATGAACAATATACAAATATAAACAAAAAAAATAAATATAGCAGTAAGTGAATCTCAGTTCAACAAGTTTAACATGAAATCTGCATTAAAAAGAACTACTATATCACAACAAACAAGTCCACATAAAATCCATAGGAACAAGAAACACTAATTCAAGACATCTATAACATCAACATTAAAAGAAAATGTCCATAACAACAAAATAAAAAGTAAATACATCAATACAACAACAATAGGGAAAAATAAGTCATCGGTACATTAAATCAAAATAAAAATAAACATCTAATATGCCTCCTCATCTTCATTCATCATCATCACAAGCATCTGCATCAGCTCCTCAGAATCCTCCTCCATTGCCTTACTCTACTCATATAATTGATTTGGAGGATATGCAGGAAAATCCACAGTTTTCTCACCCCCAATCCACTGATTTTGTCTATACATCTCAAGTTGATCAACATGAAATAGGGTTCGATGTTCAAATTTTTTTTTTTTAATGATCCAAATGTGATAAATACTCATTAAATTCATACACCCCATCCTGTAGAATTTCAATAGTATCTTTTACTTTTTCTAAATGTTGTACAAATGTTTCTTTTTTAGAAGAAGAATGTGATGGATAAGACGAAAAAGAAATGGAATTTAAAAATTTTATAGTAAATAGTAACAATGATAAATAAAATTAAGATATGAAAATTTTGGGAATAAAAATTTTATGAGATTTAATGACTAATAAAATAAAATAAAATAAATGAATTTTATCGTATCTTGTTGGTTCAAATCAATCTTCACCTCATTTTTTTAAGTATCACTCATTTGAGACAAAGGGAAGAAATCACAATGAATAACAACAAAACAAAAAACGAGCAAAAGAAAGAAATAGAGAAAAAGAAGAACTAGCCACGTGAAGAACAAAAAGATGAAGCAAGCAGAAGAAATGACTCTCAAACCCTCACCAAAGAAGGAGAGGAATCATAACCAACATTCACATCCCAAACTGAAGTACTGCATGCATTGCTGTTGTTTTATCGAACCGAAGGAGAAAAAGGGCTTCAAAAGTGTCTTGTGCTGAGGTAGAGGAATGTCAGCGGATGAGAAAAAAGTGCCGACAAGCCGCATGTGGAAGAACCAAATTGACGAGTGAAATAAGATAAACTTAGTTGTATTAATTTAATATACTTTTCTTTAGTGTCTTTCATTTCAATTGGAATAGGAATTGTATGTTGTAGAAATTTTTACTTCATCGTTGTGTTAATTTAATATACTTTCTTTAGCCTCTTTCATTTCAATTGGAATAGAAATTGTTGCGTTGTAGAAAATTTTACTTCAACGTCCAATCGCCCATTGCCATCTTATTTAAAGACAAGCAATGACATTATTAACAAATTAACATATATAACTATATCGATATATGTGTCGCCAGCTGTGTTCTATTGGCAGAGCAGCGTCTTCGAAGGTCGTAAGCCCAACAGGTCAAGGGTTAGAATCCCCCTCTGGCCAATTTGTTGGTAGTGAGAGCGATCATCAGATAGTTATACACATGAGGATGGCTGGGGGCTCGTATGATATATATATATATATATATAAGCTCTTTCAATGCTCCAGATAGCTATTCTCACAACAAAAGAACCCATCAAATATAAAATTAGAAATCAACAACCTGTTCATTTAAACCCTTCTTTAAAATCACAATAAAATAATCTTCAAATGCAATCTAATCTATAGTTTCTAGCTGAAAATCTCTGGAGGCATAAAAAATAAAAAATAAAAAAAAAATCATATAAAAAACCTACAGGACTACATGTTATGATCTACATTAAATACCTCCTCAACAGATTTTCTATATTTGGCAATCAATTCCCTGCAAAAAAACCAACATCAAAGGTTTAGCAAATAATATAATTTTGCAAACCGTTTGGTAAATAATACATACATTCTTTGATTGAGGAGCTGAATGGTCTCCTCCTGTTTACGTTTCTGTCCTTCAACTGTCTGTCCACAAAAAGATGGGAAAACTTTGATGTTTATTTATACAACAGTTTCATTTCTCAATTATAACAAAATAAATACATAATAAGGCGCCGTTCATTTTAGTCTCCGAGTCTATAAAAATATCAAACTAATCTCCAGACTATTTTAAAATAGGCCTATTTTAAAGCAAGCTAAAAGTATCCCACTATCTGAATGTTTAGAAGATACGTTACCAAATATTAAAAGAGTTGAGCTAATATGGTACTTTCAAAGATAGCACCATCACAAATAGATGGGGACCGAGAAAAATGTCAAAATAGTCCATCAAATCTTTGTAGAGAGGCACTTTATTCTCACAATCTATAAAAATATCATATTAGTCCAAAGAATAGTTAAAAAGTGTTCAAAACTACCCCGTCATCCACATGCTTAGATGTTATTTCAGCCCATATTAAAAGAGTTAAACTCTAATTTGATACTTTCATATAAATAGCATCACCACAAATAGATAGGGAAACATTTTGATGATTCATTCAGCAAGCAAGCAAGCAAATATCAAAATTAAGTGATATATATATATACACACACACATACATACAATTACTTTTTCTCAAATTTCTCCCGGTGCAAGAATGAAATACAATCTTTTGTACTTACCATAGCTTTTGTGGTAAAAGAAGCTGAGATGGAGTTCAGCAATTGTTGACACTTCTCAAAATTGTTGGTCAATTCATTGATCTTGTGAAACAATCAAATGCAAACAAGTTAGGAACAGGCTTAGAAAAACCATAATCAGAAAGGAAGAATGGAAATAAAATATTCTCATCTCATGAAAACACAAAAGATGAATAAATAGTCATTTAAACCAAGTAGCTTAAAGGGGAAAAAAATAGCCAAACAAATAAATTATCTAACAAGGTTGCTGCAAAACAAGTTTTACCGCTTGGGTTAGCATAATAACCTTAATTTTAAAAATTGGATTGGACCAATACCGGTCATTTAACCAATTCAATTCAAGCTCAAAACTGTTTTTTGCACATAAATATTTATTATGTAATCCAATTCAACATTCGATTCAACCACAGTTGAACCATTAAACCTTGAACCTTGAACCTTTTCTTTTAGTTTGTTATCCAATCCAATTTTTGCAATCTTCTTAATAATAATATTTCCCCTATGCACGTGCATTGTAGATACAAATGTATGTGTGTGTGTGCGTGAGTGAGTGAGTGAGAGAGAGAGAGAGAGAGAGAGAGAGAGAGAGTACCAAAGCTTCTGAGTGCTGATCTCTAGTTCCACTTTCAACCGCTTCAGCCACGCTTTCGGCCAACTAAAAATTTATATATGAACTACATTAGAAAATGTTGAATAAAAATATAAAGATAAAAATTAAGAGCTTATTTGGGATCAATCTTATTTTTTGTATTTATTTTGTTTTTTCTTTTATTTTTAAAAAACATTTTTGTTTAGTGTGTTATTTACATGATTTTGCCTTTTTACTTCTAAAAAGAAATTAACTTGTTTTTGAGAACACTCAAAAAATATTTTATGTGTTTTCGATGTTTATAAAGTAACTATATTTTAATCAAATAGCTAAACATGTTTTGTTTCAAATCAAAACATAAGCAAAACAAAATAAAAAAGTAAAATGGATTCCAAATGGCCCCCCTAAGGGATTGTTTAGAATTATTTTTGTTTTGTATTTTTATTTTGTTTTGTTTTGTTTTTAATTTTAAAATCATATTGTTCAGTAAACTCTTTACATGTTATTATTTTTTATTTCAAAAATAAATAAATTTATTATAAAAAAACTTAGTTATTAAGTGCTTTGAATGTTTTGAAACACAAGTGTCACCATTAAACACGAGTAGGCAAAAAAAAAAAAAAAAAAAAAAAAAAAAAAACAATAAACATAAAAAAGAAGTCTACATACATACCCACTCAATTCCTATGTATTTACACATCTAACACTTAAACTTCAATTTTTACATATATCCCACCTTACCTATTGCATGACAAGGTGTATTTCACATTTTAAAAGTCAAAATAGAGGTATTTTTCAAGTGATGCAAAAGATTTTGGTGGTAAAAATGTAAAAGTGTAGATGCTGGACATGTAAATATATAAGAAATTAGTGGCATGTATGTAACTGCACTGTTTGAAAATAAAAAAAAAACAAAACAAAAATGATCCCAAGCAGCAAAGAAGATGACTTAAAAAATGAATAAAAACTAGAGAGCCAAAAGTCACCTTATGCAGCAATGACAAGCATTAGCAGCAAATAATGATTATTTGTTAAAACTATTTAGAAATATGCATAACAAAACCATAAACTCCTACAAAGTGCAATTTCAAAAACATATTAGTCTGAAACTATTAGTCTGAAACAATTAGTCTGACCCAAGCAGAGCTTATGGACTTGGTGAGATGCTAAAAGTTAAGCCTTAATATGGACTATAACAGATTTCTTATAATATTTCGAATTACCAGTGAAATTAAAGGTTTAACAAAAAAGTGTAGCAAGTATAAATAAATTATTATGGTACATGCAGTTGAAATTTATTTTTTGTTAGTAGACTTACAAATTATACTATTATAATCATCAGGGGAATGATAACTTTATCAATAATATTCTACAATTTAATATAACACACAATTACTTCATGTATTTTAAGAAATAAAATATAGTCATTTTTATATAATGTTTTCATACACATGTTTAAATGAGATTATAATATAGTTAAATGTATAATAACTAAAAATCTACTAATGTTATTTACTAAAGCATCTTAGATACTTAGATTGTTTCAATTTCTTAATGAGCTAATTATACAAATAAATTTCTTGGTTTGTTCTCCCAGAAAAAAGAAGGGGCATTTACACAACATACCGCAAAATTTTTAAGCATTTACATATCTAACACCTAAACATTCATGTTTACATGCATATCACTCAAATCTTTAACACCACATCAAAAGTATCACCATAACTAATTATTAACCATATTTTTAAAAGTGAATACACATTTTCACGCATGACTGATGACTCTGAGATGTTATAAGTATAAATATCAAACTTTGTCTTGAGATGTGTAAATGCATAAGAATTGTGCGGTATGCATGTAAATTTCCCAAATAAGTATTGTATTCCTATCTTGAGATAGCATACCCAATATGTTTCTGCATGCTTTGAATTTTTTATATCTAAAAGAGCAACATAAAACAATATCAAACATCATCCAAGTTTCTGGAAAGTATGATTTCAATTGGATGAAATTCAGTTATGCGAGATGTAATAATTGTATTTTTTTTAAAAAATAAATAAATAGATTAATACATGCAGTTCAAATGCAATTTGCTCGACGATTGTGATATTAGGAGACGAAGTCTCGTTTCTAACCAAAACCTATTAAAGAAGACTAGAGCGAGAGACAAAAACGGTGGGTGTGACTTGCTAGTGAGAAAGAAGAAGAGGAAGGAGGTGAGGTTGTGTTCATTTTGTGCATGGAAGAAAACGTCGCATGGGAAGAAGGAAGTGCTCTTGTGTTCGGGAGGGGAAGTCAATGTTGAGGAGGGCACTACTAGTGAGGGAAGAAATACGGAAGAGGAGGAAGCCTCGCATGTGAGTCAAACCATGTGGCTTCACATGCGGGGGAAGTGCCAAACCAATCAGGCATCAAAGATGAAAGGAATTGAAGCACCGTGCGAGTTGGACTACTGAGCCTAACATCTAGGAAGAGAAGCTTAAATGCGGAAAAAGGAGGCAAGGTAATGTGGGGTTTATTATGCTTTTTTTTTAGAATAATTAATTAATTTAAAATATATTAAATGTTAATATTAAGTTTTATATAAATTAGAAAGAATAGACAGAAGAACTTTTCAGATTGGAAGAAGATAACAATTTGCGATAATAAATGTTAGCGTTTATTTGAAAATTTGTTTATAGTCAATTAAGTTATAAATTGTTACGTATCAAATTAGATTTTATTGTTAATTGATGTCAATCAAATGGTAAAAGATAATAAATTTGAAAATTAGAAAAGTTGGCAACAACAAAAAAATGTTAAGATTTTATTCCCAAAAGTAATTAGTTTAAATTAATGTTATTTGGTATTAGTATTAATTGCAATACTTAATATCAGAAATTGAATGTTGTAGAACTTATGAATCGAAAGAATTGTAAGGATCATGATCGTTAAAATTCTATTTACAATTCTTTTTATTTTGCACAAATATTTGAGATTAAAATGAGTTTTTAGAGTTTTAGTTAAAAAGTAATAAATAGGTTGATAGAGGTGATTGAAAACTGAATTATTGGAATGATCGTTGATTGAGCAAGTGAAGTAAGAGGAAAATTGAGGTATGTTTAAATTTATAGGGTTTATAAATTTAAGTGAATTATCAGAGCATCAAATGTTATTCTCTAGGAGTAATTTAAATTTTTAGATAAAATGACTAAAGTAAGCAATTGAGGTTTGAAAGAGGAAGCCTACAAATTTAAAATGATAATTTTATAAGGCGAAATCAAGATAAATAATTCTTGTTTTATATGCATTAAATTTATTATTTTTATTTTGTATAATATTTCATTTGTTCTTACACATTAAAAGTACATTTACAGTTGAAAAAAAATAAATGAAAAAGAAATTATTGTTTTATGATTTTCTTTTGTATTAAACAAAAATAAATGAATTTAATAATAAAATGGAACTAAAAAATAATAAATGATAATTTTAATGTTAAGTTTCCCAATAGTCACTTCCTTGTGATACTAACTAGGGAAACTATTATACTCATGCAAATTAGAGATAAAAAAAGGTTAAAAATTTTCCTTTATCATACAAAATAGTAAATGTTGTATCTTTATTATATAAAATGATAGAAGAAATGGTACATGTTTTACCTTTATAGCACAAAAAGTTAAATATTGTACCTTTATTTGTATATTTTGACGGTATTTTTGAGATGACTTCTTAAAGGAAAAAAGAAAAATTTAAAAAAATGAGATAATTGAATAAAATGAAGAAAATGTAATTGATCAAGATCTAATAAAGGTTTCTATAAAATAAAAAAATATAAGACTTACTTTATAAATTAATCTGCATAGTTCTTCAAGCATTCAAATTAGGCATTTCCACAAAATTTAATAAATAATAAAATGATAATTATTCACTAAACTTTTATAAACATAGCGTGTTAATTAACTGCTCCTTCAAAATAATATCTGCTAAATTGATTTGATTGATAGGAGAGAGTTTAATTACTGGAAATAGTATTTTATTTGACTTCTATTTTTGTCAACTTTTAATATATTATTTGTTTTATTATATCAAGCCGATGATTTTATATTTCCTTTTATAAAATTTTTACTCATGTATTGTGAATTAATGGCTCTTTTTAGTTGAATATTTTTGGGGACTAATATTACTGTTTAAAAATATTTACTTTCACTTTTCAATCGTCTGTTTCTGCTTTAGTTAACTCCAATTTCCCGAGCTATTTCGTGACACCAGGTATAGTTTATCGTAATTAAACAAACAACAAAAATTTGGCCAATTATATGAAATGTATTCAATTCTTCAGTGTGAAATTGAATCATTCTAGCTGATAGAAAGAAAGACGACCAATCATGCAAAATCTCAAAAAACTTAGTGCATTTAACGGGAAAAAAAAATTGCTAGATTATTGAATAAAGCACAGCTCTTAAGCAATATGAGCTATCGACACAAGAGATGTGTAAAAATTCAGATATGTAAAAATTCACGTGAAAAAAAATATTTATCTTTAGTAGCTATAAAGAAAAACTTTTAGGGAAATTTATATGCAAGCCATATAATTCTTATATATTTATTATCAAGCAAATAAACTTTCATATTAACATTTATAATATTTTGATGTAACAAAACTATACATGAAAAGATGTATTTAACTTTCAAAAATATCACACTTATCCGTGGTATAGTGTTTTGAGGTGTAGTCTCTTACCAGAGGTAGCAGGTTCGAATCACACATATTGCCCTCTAGACTCATCTTTCCAAGAAAAATCTTTTTAAAATTAGTCAATAGCAATATTTTTATGTGATGTTAAAAATTTGAGTATTACGTACGTAAATATTAAATTTTTGGTGTTTATATTATACCATGTAAATATAAAAGACTTATGTGGTATTTATGTAAACGCACCAAACCTTAAATAAAAACATTAGTATGGCAATAAAATCATTACAAGCACAAACAATGGCTATTTGAAGAACGTAACATTGTAAATCTAATGAATGTTACAAAAAACATAAAATTTTGGTCTTCATAGAAAAAAACAACTTATAATTGTCATACGAAAGACAATCTTCAATATGAAAGCATATGAGCTACTATTTTCCAAAACTAAAAAAATTTGTTCCCGAGGAAATAACTCTACTGATCAAACATTTACAACTAATGGCCCATTTTGGATCAATTTCTTTTTTTTTTGTTTTTCTCCTCATTTTTATTTTTAAAACATATTTGTTTAATGAATTTTTTAAATATTAATTTCTTTTAAAAACACCAATATTTTTTTTAAAAAATCATATCCTAATTAAACATGCCAAAAATGTTTTATTTTAAAACGAAATATAAAAAAATAAAACAAAAACACAAAGAAAACAAAAAATAGAAGTGATGTCAAACAGACACTAAACAAATAAAAAAACCATTAGAAAAATACTCTATATTCTACGTGACCATTTCTTATGACTGTTTTAAAAGCTCATTGGCAAATAACTATGTTCGACACATCAAGAAATTTGAGTTTGATTCATTTGTTAAGAGATCATTTCAAATCACTTTTGATTTTTGCTTTTTTTTTTCATTTTATTTATTTATTTTTTGAAATATAACAGAATTAGTTATTTTTTAAAAATACTTTAAACAACTTTTATATGTTTTAAATATTTTTAAAAACATTAAAAAAACATGTGAAAAATACACTAAAACAAACATGATTTTAAAATAAAAGCAAAAATAAAAATAAAAAAATAAAAATAATAGTGATCCCAAACAATCCCTAAATAAATATGTACATCATAAACAGATATTTTAAACTTAATTCTTAATTGACCTAAACATCAACAAATTTTTTATTGATCGTTTTTAGCTCATTATTGAATGATAATATGTATATACACATAACAATTAATTTTTTATAATTTTAAATTTAATAAATAGTTAGTAAATAAGAAGAACGATTTTATTCTCTTTGACACATTTTTTTTTTATTTTTTATTGTTTGAAATTAACTTTTATTTTACTCATATTCAATTCAAATTCTAACGAATCGAACATGAACAAAAACAAACTCAAGTTTGACTCATTTACACTTCTACCATTTAATCTCACTAATTTAAGTATGACTTATCTTAACATTATTTTGTAATTATTTTGCACTATTATCAACGATACTTTGGGACTATTTTCATAACACCTGATTCCACCTCAAGTATCTACCATGATACATCAAGAGACTAACAAAATTCTCTATGTGATTGATATGTATAATTTCTATTTTTAAACAGCCAAAATAATTTTGTTTGACCTCGTGGCATCACTTTGATTTAAACAAGAAAACTTGCATCCAATGCATCAATTTTGTAATTGCAATCATATTTTTGTTAGAGGTGTTGGCATTGATGTTTATATTAGATTCCTAATTTTGTGTAAGTTGTCAATCCCACATTTGATATTTTATTATTTGTTATAGATATGCTAGAAGATTTTCTTTTTTACATTCGGAATGAAATAACAAGTTGTATGGATAATTATTGCCTTAAAATAATTAAAGCATAATGTCTTATATCTTGAAGTGATTCTTGAAGTTAAAATATTTAATTTCACTCATAAAATTTCTATTAAATAGAATAAATATTATTCCTTCATATTATATTTTGATATATAAATAATGTCATTCATATTGGTTATAATATGCATCTACTAATTGTAATATATAGAGTATACATGTTTTATAAAAAAACTGTGTTGGTATTAAGTTCTATTGATAATGGTCAGTTTGGTTGATGACTCAAAAAAACTATTGATTTTCATAAAATTAGAGTCTATCTTTTCCTATTTTAGAGCGTCATCGTAAATCAATTACACACACACACACACACACACACACACACATAATCACCGTGTAAAAGTCGAACAAGACACAATGAAACCAAAGGAATAAAAGAACGGACATATTACCATGCTGGCCTATTTTGAGAGCACCTTTAACCAAAAAAAAAAATCAGCATACTTTTTTTGTTAATGGCAATAAATATTACTCCTGCAAATTATATTTTGATATATAAATAATGTCAGTCATATTAATTATAAAATATATATAATCACTTGCTTGTGATGTATAAAATATACAAGTATGTTATAAAAAAGTGCTGATATTAAGCACTTTTGATAATGATTAGTTGGACGATCGGTTCTCAAAAATATCATTGGATTTTCAAAAAATTAATATCATACCATGTGTAAAAGGTTGATTAAGCTCGACAAAACCCAAAGGAATAAATTTAAAATCAAATGCAAATGAGATACTCCCACGTTTGCCTATTTTGAGGGCACCTCTTAACAAAATTTATTTTCCACCACTATCTAAAAATGTGGCATGACCGGCTTGCACACTTTACAAGATATTTGAATTCACTTCAAATACTTATTTCATTTTTATTGTTCAAAAATAGAGACACAAGTAAAAAAACATGTTAAGCAATCATGTTTTTAATTATTTTTTTGGAAAAAAAATGGATTGTATCCTAAAACTGAGAAAAGGCGTAGGGTATTTTTTATGCTTTGAAAACAACCTGAGAAACTATTTCAATTAATCGGACTAATTATAATACTTGGTTGTAAGTGTTAATTAAGAAATCTAATCAGGACTGCTTAGATCAATATTGTTGTCTAAATAAGGTGATTAGATATGAGATAATTCATTAATTTAATAATCAATCAAAAATCTTATTAATTATTTATCAAGCCCAATTAGAGATTAAATAAAGTTTTGATTTAGAAAATTAAGCCTATTATTTCTCAATCACAATTATTTGCCTATAATAATTAATAAATTGATTGATTCGCAAAAAAATTTAATGAGCTACATAACTAGGCTATTAAGATTAATTTGATTTAATTAGGATATTAAGCGTTTCTTAGTCTTTAAATATAAAACAAACCCAAGCATAAACTTAAATTTGAAACAATATAAATGACCAACAACATGAAATTAGACTAAGCCTATCATAAGTCTAACAAAAACTCGATATCGAAATTGCTCATAAAAGAAAGCTTACATGAAGAAGATGGAAATGAGAAGCCAGTGATTGGAGTTGATGGTGGTCATGTTGTTGTTGTTGTTGCTGCTGCTGCTGGAGTTGTTGATTTAACTGATGTTGTTGTAACTGATGTTGTTGTTGTTGGTAATACTGCGGTTGGAGAGAGCTATGGTCTTGCGGAATCGAGTTTTGTGTTGGAACCATCATCCAATTCCCTCCACCAAAATGGTGATCCATCTTTGGTCCTATCCATTTAATACAACGGATTAGAATAAAAAGTAAGGTGTGCACATCAACAATTAGGTTAGCTTTTCCAAACTTCAATAAAAAATTGGAAAATTACAATGGAAGATTACAAACATACCAACCAATTCTTATGTATTTACAAATCTAACACCTAAACCTCAAATTTTTCAAAGTATGCCACCATAATTATATATGAAAAGGAATATTTAACTTTTTAAAAGTTAAAGCGGTGGTATTTTTATGTGATATGAAAGTTTTGAGTGGAATAATGTTTAGGTGCTAGGTATGTAAATACATAGGAATTGGGTGTTATGTATGTAAATGCCCTTAAAAATTTTGGTCAAAATTACATATAGGGGAAAAAGTGAAATGAGATTCCTTTACAAAAAAAAAAAAAATTCTAAGAAAATCAGCATAAATTATGGTTGCATCATATAGTCTAATAACAAAAATAAGAAGAACAAAACTTTAAGGCCAGTCCCAAACTTGAACGAGAAAAATAAATGATTGATATCAAGATTACAATCAATCAAAAAAATTATGAGCAATAATGATAACTTTGCAAGTACTACAGTGTTTCCTATAAATGGCACAACATGATCTAACGCAACTATGGTGACAAGCAACCAGGAGTTTGTTTTGATGCCACACTAAAGTAGCATGCCACTATATAACCTGAATGTGGGGAAAAACATGTGAGGTTTGGCAAGCCATAACTTAAGTCGGTTGTGGCAAAAACTAAGAAAGAATTTAATAATTCCAAGACCAAAATAAAAACTAATATTAGATTTACTATACAAATGTTTGGAACTTTAAATGTAAGAAAATAAGAATTTGGGGGGCACAAAAACAAGAAAAATATTATATTTCTCTTCTTTTCAAGAAACTAAATGAAAAAAGCTATATCAAAGGGTACTGGTTTAAATTACAAGTTGTGTTTGAAATGTTAACAAAGAGAACACGGCTGAGATGGTAATTGATAAAGAGATGAAAGATAAAATTATTGAGATGTATAGAATTAGTGATATAGTAACCACTACTAAGATAATTATTCAAGAAGGCAGCGCAATACCTAATTTTGGGAGAGGAAGGAGGATCCCTTGTGGTCAAATTGACCTAAAAAAAAATGTTTATGGTAATTCATATGCATCCACCATTTCACCAATGTGACAAAATCACTAAATGCATCAGCAAGATACAGTGAATATATGCAATCATAACCGGTCAATTATATTAAATCCACAATTATCAATATTTTAGAAATCAATAATGAAGATTATAATACTGTGAATCCTTGAGAGTTAATGGAAATGAACTTCTGTAATCAACCATTGCCACGCGATAATCAGTATTCTCGTGATATCATGCAAAAATTTAATTAGACTAAGATGTATTGAATTACCCATCACAAAAACTAAATGGGACAAGCAAATCTCTTATGATAAATGTACAATTCAGAATCTGATATCTCATAACTAATGATAAAAGATCCCTTTCTCGGATAAAATTATTTATCTTAATACAACATAAACAGTTAATATAAATTACTGGATAAACATGCAAGCCATGTTGAAGACATTTTATATTTTGAACAATGTCACAAAACAATCATGGATTATCATTATGACAAAAAATGTACATCCGGAAAATATTTTGGCTTGATTTTATGAAAGGTGACATAATTTTGGAGCTGAAAAAGAGATTCTACCAGGAGAAAATAAAGAAACTTATGTTTCATGAATAGAAGCTTCTCCTCCAATGAAATATATTAAGCCTCAAGATCTAATTACGAGACAGATCAACAATTTACTTTCCTTATAAAACATCAAATCCCGTGGATATGATCATGAAGTGTCGACATATACAGACATTATTCGAATCGGCTTAGTCTACAAAGAAAAGTTATGCTCAAAAGGTCACCGATTAAATTTCCAGAAAAAAGTTATAAATATTAAGATAAATATACAGATAATCCCTAAGAAAGAAATTAATGCAGTGGTTCTATCCATTAAAAGTCTTGAATACAATTTAGAAAGACTTTCTCCCATAAGATGAATGAACAAATTAAACAATAGATTGCTCAAGAATATCATAGACAAATGAAGAAATTGTTTAAAAGTTACAGTTGAAGAAATATATGAAGCACCAGCAGAATGTATGGGAGAAACCGAATACAAGGACAAGTGAGCCCAAATTGAAGTATTACTAAAAAAAATACAATAGCAAGCAAGCAAAATTATTCCTCTCGACAGCTTTCCAACACATATTAACATTGCATAAAGTGTATGGAACATAAATAAAATCGCAAAATATGCTGATTAATAAGATGAGCTGAAAAATGATTCCTGATGATCAATAGTTGCTATCAAATCATAACAAAATACAAATGGGAAGTGTTTTATACAAGATGGGGCCAAATTTGGGAACAAACCAAAAATCAAACATGTTCTCAGCCCTGAAGTTTAAACTTATTGGTGGGGATCAACCACTTGGTATTTCTATAACAATACACATTTAACTATCCACTGTGGGACTAAACTCAACTCCAATACGCCTTCACACTATCCTCCTCATGTAAGAGCTCTCCACATGATACCAGAGTTGACCCATATCATAACAGAGAAAGAAAATATTGCTGAAAACAAATAGGTGGTTGAAAGGAAAAATACAACAAGCACGGCACAAACTCACACTAGGGCTCGATCCACGGGTGAAAGAGGATGGTTAGGTGATCGGAGCGAAGATAGATGACCAAAATGGGTTGGGGTGGTTGAGACAGAAAAAGTAGGGGTCGGAATTGCGTTGGCAGCAAAGCGGAGGGATAGGACAACAAGGGCAGCAAGTGGGGTGGCAAGTAGAGCGGCGAGGCACGGTGGGAAAAGCTGGAATGGGCAGGGGAGAGCAAGAAAACAACGGCTTTGTTGTTCTCCAGGTGATGAAAGTAAAAGGGCAAAGTGGAGGGCTGCAGAACAACAAGGGGCAAATGTCCGCGAAGGTGGCATCGAGCAAGAAGGGCTGGAACGAGAAGGATGCGGTGAAAAATAGTAAACGAGTGTTGTTCGAGGTGGCTATAGCGATGGAGAATGGCCGAGAGAGATACAGTTGAAGCACCACCTAATCCCTGTAAATTGGGGAAAGGAGACCAAGAATATAATCACCACCTCGGGAGAAAGATACACTCAAAGCACCACCCAATCCCTAAGATACAACACTCAAAGGGAGAAGAACGGATGTCGTCGGTTGTCCTAAAAAAAACACATGAAAAACTAAAAACCTAAATATATGAATCAAGTATAAAAGCTCTTGGTAATTAGGATCAGGCCCATTGTTGAAAGGATGAGCTAAATCCACACAAGGAAAGTTAGTCGGCCCTCAATTTGTGTTATAAATTGGTCTGAGGTCGTTGGGAGAATTCCGCATCCGATCCAATTCGCGAGAACGGGAATAGGGACACTCCTGCATCAATCTTCCAGGGTTGAGGAAGCTTAGACCTCATCTATCAATGCTTCTATTTTCTCATAACAGTTAGGTTAGCCCCTTTGATGGTAGCGGAAATATTGCAAAATCCCGGTAGGTCAATCCTACAAGCATTGTCATTCAAAAGAACATTAAGTATACATCCACTGTGGGCACAGCTTGAGCTAGAGCTACATAATGATGTCAATTATCACGAGTCAAATCCTGAGCAAATAAATCTATAATTTGCTTCTCCCACTCATCGTACTCGGCTGAATATATCTGATAAGCAACTATGTGAGAAAAAATCAACTCTGGGACTAAATCTGTGACAGTTTGTGCCACTCTCAATAACAATTGCTCTGGAAAGATATCTTCCAATTCCCTAGTAGAACTGGATCCCATCAAAGAATCTCTCTCCAAAAATCTTAAAGCAATATCCCACGTTGTTCATTAATCTTGTTAAATCATATGTCCGTAGGTACATCACTGAACTGATTTTACTGCCTAAATGACTATATGGTCTTCTAGAAGTAGCTCGAAAGTTTCTCAATTCTGATATGTTGGACCTCTCTTAGGTCCGTTTAGGGCAGCTTGTGTGTTTCAGGATAAGCTGCTTATCCTGAAAAGCGGTCTGCGTTTAGTGTAAAAACCCAAACTTAGTTTCGGATAAGTTGATGAAATGTGCGAACCAAACAGTACGGTAGCATTTTGAAAAAGCCGCCCGCACTTATAGGCTGCCCCAACGGACCCTTAATAGGGGCAACATAGAAAGTAGAGTATATATCAGAAAATCTGAATTTCTCTTGTTTGGGGTTGTCATGCCTCTAGTATTGGTTCTGAAACACATGGGCCTTTGAACTTTTAATGGCAGTCTTGTTGATGCTCCTCTCAATTGCAGCAAAAAGGTGGTTTGAGGCACCACAGTCTCATACTTTGCATGAACGCCCATTACCTCAACTCACTTCCTTCTCGAACAACTACTCTTACTTCAACTGGAGTCATTGGCATCTCTTCTTTGTCATTTGGAAGTTGAGAATCCATTCTGAAAACTTCATCCACTCCTTAATTATTGTTTATTTCTTCAACTACTCCCCGATTAGTAAAAGAGATCATTCTTCTGGTTGTGCAACATGATTCGGTCCCAAAATCGTGATACTTGAAACACTTCCTGGTTGGAATAGATTTGAAAATGTGGATTGACTTCACATGTCCACTCTGAATCAATTTCTACATGGGCGCATAGATGTTCCCCTTGGTGTACTCCTGCTACTTGATTTCTATAGTTAAACTCTGTCTGTAACGCGTGAGTCATCCGATGATGTTGCCTCTACACTTTGAAACACTTCCTAGCTGGAATAGATTTGAAAATGTGGATTGGCTTCACTTGTTGTCCACTTTGAATCAGTTTCTCCTCGAGCGGGGGCTTTGATGTTCCCCTTGGTGTACTCCTACTCGATCATATGGTTAAACTTTTTCTGTAAGATGTGGTAGTCATCAGATAATGTTGCCTCTCCACTTTTAAAGCTAGGGTGTGAACACT